TTGTTTTAGAAAAAGTGCTTGGCCTTGTAGGACTTTTAAAGGGATCCCCACCTCCCAAAAATAGTGGGAAAATGTGCATGGGGTTCCCCCGAAAAGACACACCAGGATATTTGAGCCTATTAGGACTTTTAAGAGGAACCTCACCCCCAAAAAATGGGGGAACAAAGCGTGGGGCCCCCCCTAAATTCCTACCAGACCCTTGATCTGAGCACAGGCTTAGGAGAGTCCAGGAAATGGAGGGGACAAACGAGTGCCCCCCTCCCTTAAACTGTACCAGGCCACATGTAACATGCCCTCAACATGGGGGGGGTACTTTGGGGTAGGGGGACTCCACCCCAAAGCAGGACATGGGCCTCTTCCCCACAGCCCTGGGTTGTGAGGGTCTGCGGAGGGTGACTGATCATAATCTGGAAGCCCTTCTTTAACAAGGGGGCCCCAAGATCCCAGCCCCCCTTTTGAATAAGTAGGGGTACATAGTACCTCTACTCATTCACCAAAAAAGTGTAAAATGTGAATAAAAGCACAACAGTTTTTGCAAGTCCATTGTTAAAAAAGCGCCAAAAAAATGTCTCCAATGTTGTAATCCATCGTCAGACATGATGTCCAGCATTGTCCCGACTCAACAAAATATATAAAAAAAAATGCCCACTGACCCATCCGCACCCCCTGAGCACTTGCCACTATCTGACATATGTCAGATGTAAACAATTGGGCGGAGCTAGCGGTGATGTCACTGCTAGCTCTGCCAAATTGTGCTGTGATTGGCCAAAGCATTGCATCTGACCTGTGGTCCGTGTGCTTTGGCCAATTACAATGCACTTAGAGCGCAGTGTATTGTGGGGCACGGTGGGTGAACAGCTCGTCGGATGCCTTTACTTTTTGTGTGTTCACTGAACACACGAATGGCCGAAGTTCGAGTCGAACTTATGTTCAACTCGAAGATCAAGCCCACCACTAATCAATACTTAGAAGAAATGTTGTGAAAGGGAAGAAAAAGTCAATTAAATATAGTTGTGCTAAAAAAGACTCCTTTCTGGCAACTCAACCATGCTGCTCATTTTTGTTCAAGTGTTATCATATTGTGCTCCTTGAAGCAAACACACATCTTTTTCCAGAGCCGCCTGTATTTCCCCTGATGTTACCTGTGGGGTGTTTTTTGTATCCCAAACAATTCTTATGGCAGTTGTAGCTGCAGTCTTTCTTGGTCTACCTGACCTTGGCTTGCTATCAAGAGATCCTCAAAGTTTCCACTTCTTAATAAGTGACTGAACAGTACTGACTGGCATTTGGATATCTTTTTATATCCTTTTCCTTATCCATCTTTATAAAGTTTCATTACCTTGTCACACAGGTGTATATAATCTTGTTGGAGTTCCCATTCCAAAACCATAGTCAATAATTTAGAGGTACCCCTCATCACATGGCAGACATAACAGCTTTCCCCTTTATGGATAGATAGGTCGGATATTGATGTTGGATGAGAAGACCTGGCCCAAAACCAGCGTTCCATCAAATCCCAAAGGTTTTCAGTAGGGTTACAAAGTTAGTTCACCTTTACAGAAAAAACGTAAAGGTGAGCTAACATCGAATACCCTCACCACCCCCCAGTCCCCGCTGTACTTACCTCCAAGGTTGCTGGACCAGATAGATTCTGATTAGCCAGCGCAGTCACAGTGACTCAATCTAGCCCATCCTGGAAGTACTGCATGGAGAAAATCGAGACGGGAGGGGACTTCAAATCTCTGGACAGCTGGAACCGCTATAGGGGGTGCTGACAGCTTGGCAACCCCAGAGGAAAGTATAGTGGAGACCAAGGATGGGAAGAGTGACCGGCAGAGGTGGACTGACCATTTGGAAACTGGGGCACTGCCCGAGGGCCCAGGGTCAGTAGGGGGCCCCATGAGATGCCCCTGGTACCTTTTTCATAGGCTTTGTTGAGTTTGAGCAAGGACACAGGGGCCCCATGATCCCCTATTGCCCGGGGGCCCCATGAGTTATCAGTCCGCCCCTGGTGACCGGTGTAAATTCAACTTTACATTTTCTCTATAAAGGGGAACTAACCTGGACTCTTTGGAGGCCCTTTGATTTTCTCCACACCAAACTTATTAAACCTTTTCTTTATAGGGCTGACTTCATGTTGGGGGATCATTTAAAGTATACAATGTTTTTGTAGTGAAGTAAGGATTGGTTTAAACCCTTTACAGTTTTTTTTTTGCCATCTGTACCCCAAATTTGTCTTCCTTTCTTGTCCTGTAGTTACCACTGCAAGTAAGAGCAATGAGTGGGGAAATTGCCTTGTAGGTAGTTGTCATTTGAACAAGTGTCTCCACTGGAAGATTTCCTCTTTATTCAATTTTTGGTGAGAACTCAAAATTATAATATTCCAGGCAGTTTCCGTCACAGTGACCTGGTCACCAAACATGGGGAAAATCTCTCAGTGGGGACAAAGACAACATTGAAAACCTTATACACTGCTCAAAAAATGTAAAGGAACACTTTTTAATCAGAGTATAGCATCAAGTCAATTAAACTCCTGGGATATTGATCTGGTCAGGTAAGTCGCAGAGGGGGTTGTTAATCAGTTTCAGCTGCTTTGGTGTTAATGAAATAAACAACAGGTGCACTAGATGGGAAACAATGAGATGACTTCCAAAACAGGAATGGTTTTACAGGTGGAGGCCACTGACATTTTTTCCCTACTCGTCTTTTCTGACTGTTTTTCACTAGCTTTGCATTTGGATAGGGTCAGTGTCACTACTGGTAGCATGAGGCCATACTTGGACCCTACAGAAGGTTGCACAGGCAGTCCAACTCCTCCAGGATGACACATCAATACCTGCGATTGCCAGAAGGTTTGCTGTGTGTCCCAGCACAGGTTAAAGAGATGTATGAGATTCCAAGAGGCAGGCAGTTACTCTAGGAGAGCAGAACAGGGCCATAGAAGGTCCTTAACCCATCAGCAGGACCAGATGAGCACTGCCAGAGCCCTACAAAATGACTTCCAGCAGGCCACTGGTTTGAATGCCTCTGACCAAACAATCTGAAACATGAGGGTGTCCTGAGGGTCCGACATCCTCTAGTGGGCCCTGTGCTCACTGCCCGGCACGATAGATCTCGATTTGGCATTTGCCATGGAACACCTGAATTGGCAGGTCCACCACTGGTGCCCTTTTTTTTTCACAGATGAGAGCAGGTTCACCCTTCGCACATGTAACAGACGTCAAAGGGTCTTGAGAAGCCGTGGAGAATATTATGCTACCTGTAACACCATTCAGCATGACCGTTTTGGTGGTGGATCAGTGATGGTCTGAGGAGGCATATCTATGGAGGGATGCACAGACCTCTACAGGCTAGACAATGGCACCCTGACTGCCATTAGGTATTGGGATGAAATCCATGGACCCATTGTCAGACCCTATGATGGTGCAGTGGGTCCTGGGTTCCTTCTGGTGCAGTGGGTCCTGGGTTCCTCCTGGTGCACGACAATGCCCGGTCTCATATGGTGAGAGTATGCAGGCAGTTCCTGGAGGATGAATGAATTGATACTATTGAATGGCCCCCATGCTCGCCTGGCCTAAATCCAATAGAACATCTCTGGGACATTATGTTTACGTCCATCCAATACCACCAAGTTGCACTTCAGACTGTCAAGGAGATCAGTGATGCCCTGGTCCAGATCTGGGAGGAAACACCCCAGGACACCATCTGTTATCTCATTGTCAGGCATACATACAAGCACGTGGGGGCCATACAAACTACTGAGGACCATTCTGAGTTGCTGCAATTTAACTTCAGCAAAATGGACTAGCCTGCTGCATAATTTTTTTCACTCTGATTTTCGGGGTGTCTTTGAATTCAGTCCTTTGTAGGTTGAGGTTCCATCAAAAAATGGAGCCTCCTTACATTCCTAACACATTACCCAGTCCATATCAGTATAGATATCCAGCATGATATTTTTCCCCATTGAGATATGATGTGTTTTCAAAGTGTTCCTTTAATTTTTTTTAGCAGTGTGTATTCTTTTTTTGTTTACAAACGATTTTATTATATGAAAGTAAACTGTAAAACAACAGTTCATTTACATATGATACAGTAGAAACAAGGCACTTCTGAAAAGCACAATACAGAAAAATATATTAACGCAAGAAAGAGAAGAAACAGAAAGAATAAATTGCAAGTACATGAGATACAAAGATGATAGGGTGGATTGAATGATACATTCGTCAACAGTATATGCCAGTCAATTTTCAGTAGGGATGTTGTTAAGTATGCAATAAATGTCTATAATCCCTCCATGACTCCCACTTTTTATCAAACAAGTGCATCTTATCCAGTAGGGTATAATGAATACGTTCTATGAGCATTACAGCGTCTATTCTGTGTAAAACGGAGGCCAAGGGTACAGAATTGGACCTCCAATGTAAGGCAATAGACCATAAAGTAGCAATACATATAGTATGTATTAATCTCATAGTGGCATCAGAGAGCCCCGGAATATGAGCTCCCAACAGACAAGTCTGTAGAGACAATCGTACCGGGGAACCCACCAGTGAGGTAGCCACCTCAGATATCCTGCACCAAATCATAGATATGGATGGGCAATCCCAAAATACATGAGCAGTGTATATTCTAAGCCTTCCCTACTTTATCTAAAATTAAAAAAAAGTTTTGGTTTTGCATGCATGTTCAGATCAATTTTACAAAAAATTTGCAGTCACTACCCTATTTTGCAATGGTAGAATATATTTTTGTTTTCACTCTTGTACGTGGCCAATAATAAGATTTAATTTTAAACTTCTACATCTCTTTTTACAGAATATTTCAACTTCTAATCTATTTTGTGGACAATGGAGAATTTTACAATGGCCTATCCAATTTCTAATGTTACTCTTAAAGAAGAGACTACGATCCCTTGGGCTTTCCATGAATCCACTACTGAAGTCTATTCTGAAGACGAAGAAAGACTGATACATATAGGATTCATTCTTAATGTCTTTTCCATGGTGGTCTATTCTGTGGCTTTCCTATTAGGGACCATCGGGAATGGTGTGGTCATCTTTTTTACCGGCTTTGTAATGAAACGGACTGTCAATGTTGTGTGGTTCCTTAATTTAGCCATAGCTGATTTTATCTTCACGTTTTTCCTACCGTTGAGCATTACCTATGTCGCTCTTGACTTTCACTGGCCTTTTGGAAAATTCATGTGCAAGCTGAACAGCACTGTTCTATTCATCAATCTGTACGCCAGCATCTTCCTGCTCACCGTGATCAGCATTGATCGATACATCTCCGTTGTGTTTCCTGTTTGGTGTCAGAATCACCGAACTCCGAGGTTGGCCTCTTTTGTAGCCGGGGCGGTATGGATCTTAGCATTAATTTTCAGTATACCTTATGCTATTTTCCGAGATATAAACGATAATGGAGAAGATTATGTTTCATGTTATAACAACTTTCATGCGGATGAGGACATTGCCTATTCAAGGCACAAGGCTACAGTAATCATTAGATTTATTGCAAGCTTTTTGATTCCTTTCACCATAATCATCTTTTGCTATTCAGTAATTCTTTTCCGTATCCAAAAAAATCACATGACCACATCGAGCAAGCCTTTCAAAGTTATCCTAGCCGTTATCATCTCATTCCTTGTCTGCTGGTTTCCTTACCATGTCTTCTCTTTTTTGGAACTTAGTGCAAATTATGTTGAAAATGATCACCTTTTCTACGTAGTTTTTGTTGGAATACCTATTACCTCCAGTTTGGCCTTTATAAACAGTTGTGTCAATCCTGTTCTCTACGTCTTTATGGGTCGAGATTTCAAAAAGAAATTCCAGGACTCCCTCCGGTCGATATTGGAGAGAGCTTTCACCGAGGAATCTGCCCAATTGGACTCCAAGAGCAAAACCAAGTCAACGTCAGATTCTCAGCTGGTCTGAGATGGGACTACATTTATGGAACAACACAGACCACGGAGACCTTATCGGCTTTGAGAATATTTTCAGGATATATGTTCATTCTAAAATGTTGTTCTTAATGCTTTATTTTCTCCAGCAGAGAATATTATGAGGTTTGCCAAATATTGAAACTGCCAGTTGCTGAATTAGATCATACCCTGTCTTAGAATACCAGAATTGCCATTTGCTACTATACCATCCTCTCAAAATACAGACTAATTTAAAAAAAAAAGTTGTTAGAAGCTGAATCCATGACTGTTGGACTTGCAGAATATCAAGGCGAATAATTACACCTAATCCATAAAAACTACCACCACCCTTGCAGAATATCGAGGCTAATAATTACCCCTAATCCTTAAAAACCACCACCACCCTTCAAACCTTCCCCACATAAATGACCACGAAACTCTCTTTTTGGTAAAACCGGCCATAGTAGCCATTTATTTAACATAACTCAAACATAACACTTCTTACAGTACACTCAAATAATAACTGACAGTAATGATCCCAACCGGGTCCAAGGTCTTCGAAGGCACTGTTACCCACATCACAAACTTGACTGTATCTGACACCCAATGAAAAGGCCCCGAGCTGCTACTACACCGCCTCGAGGACAATACTACAGTTATGTAGTCCCAGATACAGCCGATGAACTCCCACATTACCAACATGACCTTATAGTTGGGAAGGGACACCCATACCTATGATGGGCCCAACCCATAATCCACCAAATTGTCACTCCAACACCGCCTTCAAAGACCCATCGACCCCTGACGGCTGCCATGACAAAACAAACAGACAAACACCTCTGGATACAAAAAGCCATTCTGAACAAGGAACCCACACAGGACAAACACAAAGAACACACCAAACCAAAACAGCGAAACCAACAACAGGACAAACACAAAGAACACACCAAACCAAAACAGCGAAACCAACAACAGGACAAACACAAAGAACAAACCAGAACCAAAACAGAAAAACAAAATATGAAACAGCTCCAGGGAGGGAGGACGGGGGAGACACTCCTGGCAAGACCACCCCTCAATGTTGCGTACTCCAATCAGGTAAGTAACCACCCCCTTACCTCCTGCATAAACTCCCACCCAGAATTCACGCTCCGCCTCGTCTGCACGCCCCAGTCATGTTGGCCCTCCCTTTTAGCTTAGCTCAGTCCAGGCCTTGACTGGCAATCAGATGAAGTACTTAAGGGGAGAAGACTTAGAGGTTTTGTCGTTGCTCAACCTCGTGACTATAACGAGACCTGAAATTGATGCACCACACCACTACTGAGGCTAGGTTCACACTTGTCCGCTGTCTGCGGGTGCAGGAATCGCACCTTTTCCCACACCTGCAACCACCCACAGCCAAATCATCTTACAAGGCATGCAGAGCTACCATTCATTCTGAATTCGCATGGCCAAAAAGACTATGCTGGTTTCTCTGCGACCACATTTTTAAAAAAGGTTCATGCACCTTTTTCCTGCAGGAAACGTGGGCAGGTGAGCAATGAATGGGCTGCATTGCCCGAGAAAACAGCCCGCAATAGTGTGAACCGAGGCTAAGAGGTCCAGATACAATTTCATGCTAATAAAAATCAGTAGCCAACACATTTTGGGGGAACAAGAAATAATAATCAGCGCAAATTCTGGAACCAAGTCTGAAAAGTCTAATAGTTGGTGAAAATAATCTGGGTGACTTGGATAAGGAGGGTCCGTATAGCACTAAGGGCAAGCTCCATGCAGTACTGTAGTAGACTCTGTGTAGTAAGGAGAGAAGAAGAAGCACCTCTAAGTGCAGTAGACCACTTTAATATACCATAAAAGTAGGAATCTACTTTTAACACATTTTGGGGGGCCAAGCTCACCCTTCATCAGGGCTAGAAAGACCTGATGAAGGGGCGTTTAGACCCCCAAAATAATGCATTTTGAGGGTCCAAGCTCCCCCTTCATCAGGCTAGAATGCGTTGAATGCATTGGATACTTTTTTTAATTGTACCCCTGATTTTTAACAGAATTGATTTGTATCTGGACCAGGGGCGGACTGACAAATCATGGGGCCCCCGAGCAATAAGGGATCATGGGTCCCCTGTGTCCTTGCCCAAACTCAAAAAAGCCTATGAAAAAGGTACCAGGGGCATCTCATGGGGCCCCCTACTGACCTCGGGCCCTCGGGCAGTGCCAGAGTTTCCAAATGGTCAGTCCGCCCCTGATCTGGACCTTTAGCAGTGCTGTGGTGCTTCAATTCACCTCCACCAGATCATCCCCCACAGCTATCACCTTTTTTATCACCTAACCCTTCCTTTAGATTGTAAGCTCCACGAGCCGAGCCCTCATATTCCTTCTGTACTGAAATGTATTGTTGCTGTATTGTCTCCCATTATATTGTAAAGCGCTGAGCAAACTGTTGGCGCTCTATAAATCCTGAATAATAATAATAATAATTTAAATTCTTGTTACATTGCTACAAGCCGAGTAGACTGTGGATATCCTCTGGGGTATAGAAACTGCCTTCCTAAAAAACCAGATCATTTACACCAACATCAATACCTCCAGATAGCAATATCAGTAAGATATCCATATGGGTCCAGTGCAATTTTGCCACTTTCCTTAACCTTGTGACTGGACAGTGAAGAGAGAAGCAGAAAACTGAAGAGTTCACCTTTCTGTCACTCTGTTCTCTCCACCTATCAGCATGCTCCTTGTTAGCACATGAGCACAACTGATCAGTTCCTTGTGCTGCATCTTCCAGTCTGAGCTCCGCTATACAATGGATTACAAGAGGCTGATACCAAGACAAGATTAGGTGCTTGAGCTAAAATAAAAAGTTATGATACATTAATACATACAGAGCTGCATTTGTTCGTGTCTTTTATGATTAGCTGGAATTCAACTTTAAAATAAATGCCGTTATCACAGATAGGTTTTATAAACTAAGATTCCTTCTTTTCAGTTTGAATTACTGTAAATAGATACTACATACTGCATTCCCTATCCACCTAGTCCATAGACACAGCACAGTGGCTAAATGGTTAGCACTTCCGCCTGGCAGTACTAGGGTTGTTGGTTCGTAATCCCAACCACAGCACCACCTACCTGGAGTTTGCATGTTCTCCCTGTGCCTGCGTGGGTTTCCTCTGGGTACTCCGGTTTCCTCCCACACTCCAAAGGCATGCTGGTAGGTTAATTGGCTCCTGTCTAAATTGGCCCTAGTATGTGTATGTATGAATGTGAGTTAGGGACCTTAGATTGTACGCCCCTTGAGGGTTAGGGACTGATGTGAATGTATAATATATATGTAAAGCGCTGTGTAAATTGATGGTGCTATATAAGTATCTGTAATAATGAATAAATAATACAGAGGATGCCATTGCTGACCTGCTTTTTTGAAAAGGCAAGTAACTTTGCATGTCATAGTCCTCTACTCCTTTGGGAGTGCCTAGTTACTTTCTGTGCTGGTCCAGCTCCTCTTTCCCTCTCCTTTCTTCCTCACATAACCTGGTATGCAGCAGTCAAGAGAGGAGTAAATGGGAATACCGAAGAGGGTCACTTGAGTGACATCTCTGGGTCAGCTGCTACTGCTAACCTCACATTCAATATGGTGGCACCAGCAGCAGTCTCAGAACCTTTGGAGGTCTACATAAAAGAGAATTCTACAGGAAAGTAAAATATTTTAAATGCATATATAATGTTGTAGGAAGGTTTTCTTGAAATGTATGGTCTGGAGATAAGGACTTACTACAAAGGACATACTTTTCCCTCAAGAACGCCTGTCCATTTGTACCCAATTAACCAATACAAGCATTGACTCACACCAGTGATTTGAAAAAAAAAAAAGGTTCTGGCATTTTTTTTTTTTTACGATTTCAGGTGTAACCTGCATAGACATCTGTGCATGAAGTCGCACCTGAAATCGAACTGACCTGCAGCTTTGAAATTGTGTGACTTTACTTCATTTTTAAAAAACAGACACTCACCATCCTAGGATCCAGCAATGTCCTCACTGCAGCCGAGTTCAGTGGCCATGCTGTGTCCTTGGCACCGCATCTTAAGTGTGGGCACCCGGCTGTGACAGCTTGCGGCTTCACAGCCGGATGCCCATTGTGAATGATCCCCCAGTCCTCTGGGACCTGTCATGTGTCCCCGAAGACAGCAGTCAGAGTGGAGAAGTACTTCCACTTCTGATGACGTAGGCCAGGGGTCTCCAAACAGCAGCCCAAGGGCCAGAAGTGGCCCTTTGCTTGTTTTTATCCAGCCCTTGGGGACAATTCTATCTGCTGACAACAATGATGGGACACTATTCCTTCCACTGACACCAAAAACGGGGCACTATTCTTCCCCCTGATCAGAGGTGTATTTACCACTAGGCAAACAAGGCATTTGCCTAGGGCAGCATTTTTCATGGGGGGGGGGGGCAGCACTACCCCTTGGAAGAAGAAACAGGCATAGCATGGGGACCTGGTGTGTTTCAAGAGAGGCTGCGGGTTTTATGACGGTGCATACTCCCGGTCCCGGGGATGTCCAGAACTGTGAAGGTTAGTGTCTCTCTCTCTCACCATGGGGGATGGTGGCTGGTGTATGGGGGAAATGGTAGTGGAAGGCTCTCTTGGGTGGGGGGTTGGGGTGTTGTAGGTCAATGTCAGTCTCTCTCTGCAGGGGGGGGGGGGATTTTTGTGTTGCCTAGGACAGCACAAAACCTAAATACACCACTGCCCCTGATACCAGAGATGGGGAACTAATTCTCCCACTGACACCAATTATGGAGTACTATTCCTCCCACTGACACCAATGGTGTAATATCTTTACTCTCAGTGACCACCACCTATGACATTGTTTGCTTCCACCGATGCCAGGGCATTTTTTTCTCCCACTAGCTACAGTCCGTCCCCCCTAAAATTTAAAGGGCAGTAAACTGACCCTTTGTTTTGAAAGTTTTGAGACCCTTGGCCTAGGCGATTGCAGCAGAAATGGCAGTGGGTACCTGCTAAAATCCTGTATCCGCTCCCTAAAGGTGCCAATCCTTAAAGGGGAGAGGGGGACAAGGCCGTAAAGCGGAACTTCCCTTTTTGGATACAGCTCTGCTTTAACCTAAAAAAGGAACTGGTCTTGTTGGCTTCCTTTTTCTCTTGTATATAAATAGATGAAGTAGAAGAAGTGTTTTGTTACATCTGTTTAATACGTGCCGAAAAATTCCTGTTGATCCTGCCAGAAATCCTTCCAGTCATTTTCTGAGTGCTCTGTGGGCTCACCCCAACAGGGGCAGATTGACCATTTAGGCACTCGGGCACTGCCCGAGGGCCCAGGGTCAGTAGAGGGCCCCATGAGATGCCCCTGGTACCTTTCATAGGCTTTTTTGGGTGTGCTTTGAGTGTGGGGGTGAGGACACAGGGGCCCCATGATTTCCTATTGCCCGGGGGCCCCATGAGTTGCCAGTCCGCCCCTGCACCCCAAACAGTGCTATCAATCCTGCCCATTTCGACTGAGTGGACTACGGAACACCCTCCCCCCATATTACAGAGAAGTGTGGACATGGGATGTTCTGTAGCCCTAATACACAGGGGCGGACTGACCATTTGGAAACTCGGGCACTGCCCAAGGGCCCAGGGTCAGTAGGGGGCCCCATGAAATATCCCTGGTACCTTTTTCATAGGCTTTTTTGAGTTTGGGCAAGGACACGGGCCCCATGATCGCCTATTGCCCGGGGGCCCCATGAGTTGTCAGTCCAGACCTACAGTGAACTTGGGACAGGAAGTGTGCCACTGGCAGGATCTCTGGGGGAGGAATGTAATAATAAAAAAAAAGCGTAAGAAAATGAATACAACCGCCACATCTAAGGGCTCATAAGCTGCAATATATTACATTGATGTTCTTGGGTTTGGATTTTCTGTAAAGCAGTTTGGTGGGTTTTATAGCGTCTTATTCTGATATTTTATATTTTTTTGAAACAAAAACACAAACATGCCCCAGGAACTTTGTGTGATTTACAGGAGAACCGCGACTTCATCTGCTCTTCCTGTACATAAGAGTGTATAGCTACTGTATCTGATCTGTAGATGAGTAGATGGGTTATTTCTACCTTCTATGTAGTCAGGAAGAGGTTTCATGTTCTCTGTACAGGGACTCATCTCTGATAAAACAGGGTGTGCATTCATCAAGAAGATTTAAAAGATATTTTGTTTTTCTCCGTACCTTTCAATATTATATACAAATTATCACAAAATATTTCAACAGCATAAGTGAGACTCCTGTGGGTGTCAGATTGTACACAACCACAGCATATAAATCAAAGGCATATCAGAGGAATGGACCCCAAAGTGTAGAGGTCAATGCAGGGGCGGACTGACAACTCATGGGGCAATAGGGGATCATGGGGCCCCTGGGTCCTTGCCCACACTCAAAGCACACCCAAAAAAGCCTATAAAAGGTACCAGGGGCATTTCATGGGGCCCCCTGCTGACCTCGTGCCCTCGGGCAGTACCCTGAGTGCTCAAATGGTCAGTCCGCCCCTGGGTCAGTGTGTGTGTGCTAGTATGATTGTCAAGACCTGCTGGTGGCACCGTGCTTCCAAAATCAGAAAGTTGTAGCCCAATGTCCACCAGCGAGTGCCTTTCAGCAACCACCTGATCCCAGTAATCAATCTTCACCTGATGCTGGCTGCTGGGAGGGTATTTAGACCCCCTTCTGCTGATACACCTTGCTTCAGTGTTTTGCTTGCTGCCAGATGCTGCTAGCCATGATCCAATTCCTGCTCTTTGATTGTGCTCTCTGTCTAGTACCTATACCTTGTATCCTGCTGCCTTGTTTCTACTCCCCCTTGCTCCTGATCCCAAGCTTTGGCTCCACCTACCTGTATATGTTCTGTGTACCTGCAGTTTTACACTTTTCCTGTGATCCCCATTTGTATATATTGTATATAGTTAGTTCGATACCTAGGATTTCTGTTACTTTGTCGCTGGGGTTTTTGTTCACTTATATCTTTATGTTTGCTGCTGTTTGGTGTTGAATGTCTTTTGTTTTATGATCAATAAATCTTACATAAGACAGTGACGGTGTCTTTTATTTTACTATTAATACATTTTACTTAGGGTTACAGCGACGGTGTCATCTTTTTAGATGAGTGAGAATTTCTTTATTCTGTGAGTTTTGGATGTATAAAATATCAGCGAGCGCTTATAATGGTAAAATCAGCTTTACACTAAAAGGAAACCATAAAATCTTCAGATAAAATATGCATAAAAACTGTGCAGCGCTCTAAATCAAACTATAAAATGATCAATAAGTGCAAATAATTCTGTAAAAAGTCCAAGAAGGAAAATTAATGTATAAAAAAAGGTATATATATATATATATACAGTATTATATGTATTAATGCAACCCAAGGTGATTTTAGTTAACCCAGATATGATATTATTCAACAGTCCATGTGAGCGGCAAGCAAATAGTTAAAATGCGCACTCACCAGATACTATACCAGCTGGTCAGTGCTCATAGCAGCTTTAAGCTGCTTTACTGTTTTGTTATCTGCATTAAGGATTTGCCGCATGTATGTTCATTCTCGTTTTTTATTCACTTACACGTTTAATAAACTTTGGATCATAACCTACTACACTATGGGCATTTCCTTCTGTCGCTCTTTGGTGAGCTTTTACCCCCCCCCGAGCCCCCTTCCCCCTGGTGACCATTTCCATATCCAGAAGAGGTTGCATCCATATCCTTAAAGGGGGCCTCCAAACACAGTGCCACATTGATGTCATCCATCCTACCCTGGCTGTTATCTCCAGTACCACCCTTAAGAGGGACTCCAGGTTGATTTCATTGATTTATATACTGCGCATTATCTATGCGTATCTGGTGAGTGCGCATTTTAATCTTGGACTTTTTACAGAATTATTTGCACTTATTGATTATTTTATCGTTTGATTTATAGCGCTGCACAATTTTTTATGCATATTTTGTGAGTTTTGATTACCTCTGTTTGATTAAAGGTTGACTATTACAGCACTTAAATGGCTCTTCCTTTTCTTCCTTTTTTTTTTAGATATATATAGTCTGGGACTTTCAATAAACCATCCTTGGATGACCAGCTCTGTTGGGATGTTCTTTACTATGTGGATATGCCACAATGGAAGTGGGAGTGGTGGCTGTGGACCATCTGTGGATCCTATATGGGGGATTGTATAATTGTATCATCATGGTTCCAGGCATAACACTGGAGCAAGATCCATCAGCAGGAGATGGGCTAAATACCCTGCAAGCAGCCAGCAGCAGGTGGAGACTGATTACTGGGATCTGCTGGCTACTGTGAGACACCTGCTGGTGGACACTGGAACTACAACGTTCTGCTCTGGGAAACAGTGCCAGCAATAGTTGATCTAGGTCCTGACAATGATACAATCCCCATACAGAATTCACAGGTGGCACACAGCCACCACTTCCACTTCCAATATGGCATGTCCGCATAGTAAAGAACATTCCTACAGTGCAGATCATCCAAGGGTGATTTATTGAAAGTGCATATAAAATACTTTCACAGCTCCAAACTGGGCTGCTGCCTCCACAACCTGCACTGGGCGTGATGATGAGTCCAAAAGCTCTTCCCTACATGTTTCTTCCACATAGGATGTCCTATTTTGTCTTTCTGAAACAAAGTAAACATTTTAGAACGATGGATGCATAAGGATTGCGAATGTACTTGGTATTGTATTTGCTTCAAAAGGGTAATCAGTCCATCATGTGGCAGCTGCACAATGCACAAAATCATGTAGAAACAGGCTAGGAGCTTTTTTAGTTTTGGATAGAGTTTAGGGGGATTAGAAGCCCTGTCAGGTTTTTATTGCTGTCTGTGCCCCTGTTGGGGAGATTCACCCTCTCTATTTGTCCTGTTTACCATTATTATTGAAAGTAAAAGAAAACCAAAATTTTAGGATGTCACCAGAACAGGAATAGAGGGGAAATCTTTCAATGACGACACTAGTTCTGGTGACAATCAAGAGTTCCATCACTTTGGAGTGATTTCCTCTCACTTTTAGTTTTGGCGATGAGACAGGAAGTGGAAGGAAATCCATCCAATGAGACACAGATGGCAAAAACAAAAAATACATTAAAACAAATTATATACCGTATTTTTCGCTCCATAAGACGCACTTTTTTCCCCCCAAAAAAGGGGGAAAATGTCAGTGCATCTTATGGAGCGAATATGGAGCAGCCGGTCCGGTATTTCCACTGCCGCCGTGTCAGAATACCGGGCCGGCCGCTCAGCTCTACAGCGGGACCTTATAGAGATGACTGCTGACCTTTGGGGAGGGAGGGGGAGCGAGTACCTGAATTTGACAGATACCCGCTCCCACTTCCGTGGAGTTCTTTCATCTTACCCGTTCCTCTATCCAGCGGCGCGGTCTTCCCAGCTTCTGTAGTGTGGGCATGACAGCCGGGTGCCAAGTGCGCATGCGCAGGAAGCGGTGCTTTTTGTGAATGGTAAGGCAGCACCTGGGACACATGACAGATCCCAGAAGCCGCCGAACCAATCACAAAGCGCAAGTGCTTCTCGCTCATGCGCACTGGGCACCCGGCTGTCATGCTGAACGCCATTACAGAAGCCGGGAAGACAGCGCGCGGCTGGATAGAGGAACAGGTAAGATGAAAGAACAACTCCGCGGAAGTGGGAGCGGGTACCTGTCAAATTCAGGTACCCGCTCGCCCCCCTCCCCAAAGGTCAGCAGTCATCCCCTGTACTATCCACAGTCTCTGGTCATCCCTGTACTGTCCGCAGTCTCTGGTCTTACCTGTACTGTGTCCACAGTCTCTGGTCATCCCTGTACTGTCCGCAGTCTCTGGTCATCTCCTGTACTGTGTCCACAGTCTCTGGTCATCCCTGTACTGTCCGCAGTCTCTGGTCATCTCCTGTACTGTGTCCGCAGTCTCTGGTCATCCCTGTACTGTCCGCAGTCTCTGGTCTTCCCTGTACTGTGTCCGCAGTCTCTGGTCATCTCCTGTACTGTGTCCGCAGTCTCTGGTCATCTCCTGTACTGTGTCCGCAGTCTCTGGTCATCTCCTGTACTGTGTCCGCAGTCTCTGGTCATCTCCTGTACTGTGTCCGCAGTCTCTGGTCATCTCCTGCACTGTGTCCGCAGTCTCTGGTCACTCCTGTACTGTGTCCGCAGTCTCTGGTCATCTCCTGTACTGTGTCCGCAGTCTCTGGTCATCCCCTGTACTGTGTCCGCAGTCTCTGGTCATCCCCTGAACTGTGTCCGCAGTCTCTATCTATCCCCTGTACTGTGTCCGCAGTCTCTGGTCATCTCCTGTACTGTGTCCGCAGTCTCTGGTCATCTCCTGTACTATGTCTGCAGTCAATTAGTTCAGAATTTTTTTTTTCCTGTTTTCTGCCTCTAAAACCTAGGTGCGTCTTATGGTCAGGTGCGTCTTATGGAGCGAAAAATACGATATATTATAAAAAAATGATATACAGTCAGGTCCATAAATATTGGGACATCAACACAATTCTAACATTTTTAGCTCTATACACCACCACAATGGATTTGAAATGAAACAAACAAGATGTGCTTTAACTGCAGACTGTCAGCTTTAATTTGAGGGTATTTACATCCAAATCAGGTGAACAGTGTAGGAATTACAACGGTTTGCATATGTGCCTCCCACTTGCTAAGGGACCAAAAATAATGGGACAGAATAATAATCATAAATCAAACTTTCACTTTTTAATATTTGGTTGCAAATCCTTTGCAGTCAATTACAGCGTGAAGTCTGGAACACATAGACATCACCAGACGCTGGGTTTCATCCCTGGTGATGCTCTGCCAGGCCTCTACTGCAACTGTCTTCAGTTCCTGCTTGTTCTTGGGGCATTTTCCCTTCACTTTTGTCTTCAGCAAGTGAAATGCATGCTCAATCGGATTCAGGTCAGGTGATTGACTTGGCCATTGCATAACATTCCACTTCTTTCTCTTAAAAAACTCTTTGGTTGCTTTTGCAGTCTGCTTTGGGTCATTGTCCATCTGCACTGTGAAGTGGCGTCCAATGAGTTCTGAAGCATTTGGCTGAATATGAGCAGATAATATTGCCCGAAACACTTCAGAATTCATCCTGCTGCTTTTGTCAGCAGTCACATCATCAATAAATACAACAGAACCAGTTCCATTGGCAGCCATACATGCCCACGCCATGACACTACCACCACCATGCTTCACTGATGAGGTGGTATGCTTAGGATCATGAGCAGTTCCTTTCCTTCTCCATACTCTTCTCTTCCCATCACTCTGGTACAAGTTGATCTTGGTCTCATCTGTCTATAGGGATGTTGTTCCAGAACTGTGAAGGCTTTTTTAGATGTCGTTTGGCAAACTCTAATCTAGCCTTCCTGTTTTTGAGGCTCACCAATGGTTTACATCTTGTGGTGAACCCTCTGTATTCACTCTGGTGAAGTCTTCTCTTGATTGTTGACTTTGACACACATACACCTACCTCCTGGAGAGTGTTCTTGATCTGGCCAACTGTTGTGAAGGGTGTTTTCTTCACCAGGGAAATAATTTTTCGGTCATCCACCACAGTTGTTTTCTATGGTCTTCCGGGTCTGTTGGTGTTGCTGAGCTCACCGGTGTGTTCCTTCTTTTTAAGAATGTTCCAAACAGTTGTTTTGGCCACGCCTAATGTTTTTGCTATCTCTCTGATGGGTTTGTTTTGTTTTTTCAGCCTAATGATGGCTTGCTTCACTGATAGTGACAGCTCTTTGGATCTCATCTTGAGAGTTGACAGCAACAGATTCCAAATGCAAATAGCACACTTGAAATGAACTCTGGACCTTTTATCTGCTCATTGTAATTGGGATAATGAGGGAATAACACACACCTGGCCATGGAACAGCTGAGAAGCCAATTGTCCCATTACTTTTGGTCCCTTAACAAGTGGGAAGCACATATGCAAACTGTTGTAATTCCTACACCGTTCACCTGATTTGGATGTAAATACCCTCAAATTAAAGCTGACAGTCTGCAGTTAAAGCACATCTTGTTCGTTTCATTTCAAATCCATTGTGGTGGTGTATAGAGCTAAAAATGTTAGAATTGTGTTGATGTCCCAATATTTTTGGACCTGACTGTATATATATATATATATATATATAATTTATATATATATATTATATATAATTTTTTATAATATATATATAATTTGTTTTAATGTATTTTTTTTTGCCATCCATAAAAAAATACATTAAAACAAATTATATATATTATAAAAAAAATTATATATATATATATATATATATATATATATATAATTTTTTTATATTATATATAATTTGTTTTCATTTATTTTTTTTATATATACAAGTCTTTCACCAAGTGCTCATATGCGACACATTCAAGCACATTATGACATTACTTTGCAGGGGGAAAAATCTTTTTTTTTTCTTACGTTTGCTACCGCTTTAATAAACTTTTATAGGTTATCAAACTTGTGCTGGGAGCATGTTTTTACCATGTGGCTGTGGTGGAAAAAAAATCCTATTTTTCCTTGAGATGGTTTTTTATACCAAGTAACCTTCAAACCACACAAAGAAAAAAACACAAAAAAAAATAAAAATAAAATCTGTTTCAGTGATTTTGTAGATCTGTCCAACATAACAGATGGATAAAATGCAATAAAGAATCCCCCCCGGGACTTTAGAGGCAGAACCACACATGAAATTCATCTAAAACGCAAATGCCAAGTCTTATAGAAAAAAAGGACATAAATTCATGGAAAACCATATATCTCCAAAAGAGAAAATAGCATAGTAGTAGTTTTTTTAAAGTATGTAAAAAAGGGGGGACTCAGCGAGCGCTTGACAATAATATAGCAGCTAATGCACCATCAAAAAGAACCAATGACCTTCAAAACAGCATGTAAAAGTATAAAAGTACAGCGCTATGATATCATGAAATTAACATAAAATTCACAAATGATGAAATAAATATAAATATAAAGTGCTAGATGTATCAATATTCCAAGAAATGAATATGAAGTGAGATAAAAATGTATCTCACTTCATATTCATTTATGTTAATTTCATTATATCATAGTGCTGCACTTTTATACTTTTACATACAGTTTTTTTAAAGTGTTACACATACACATATACAATATAGTACAATGCAATAATAAATTCAACCCATCCTATTAGGTTGCAGACCGAAACTCTAGATGAATCCCAACATGTTTCGGGAAAAGTATCCTTCTTCAGGGGCGGGTGTATGGGTATCTCTACAATATAACATGTAAACAATTAATTAAAAAAAAAAAAGAACATATATTTCTCAAATGTAAAAAAGTACACATGTGAAAAATACGTTAAGCCATAGGTGCTTGCTTACGTCTGAAAATATATGCATGAGATGTACAGAAAATATTGTGAGATGGGGCTGATGTTCACCAAAACACACCAGGGTTGGCCGCTCCCAAGAATCATATCACAAGGACCTCCCAAGTGGCACAAAAGGGGGGAGTACAGGGTAGGGGCGGACTGACCATTTGAGCACTTGGGCACTGCTCGAGGGCCTGGGGTCAGTAGGGGGCCCCATGAAATGCCTCTGGTACCTTTTATAGGCTTTTTTGGGTGTGGGCAAGAGCACAGGGGCCCCATGATCCCTTATTGCCTGGGGGGCTCAATGAGTTGTCAGTCCTCCCCTGGTACAGGGCAGGGGCGGACTGACAACTCATGGGGCCCCCGGGCAATAGGGGATTATGGGGCCCCTGTGTCCTTGCCCATACTCAAAAAAGCCTATGAAAAAGGTACCAGGGGCATCTCATGGGGCCCCCTACTGACCCCGGGCCCTTGGGCAGTGCCTGAGTTTCTAAATGGTCAGTCCGCCCCTGGTACAGGGTCTATAATAATCTATCAAATTTAGTACATATGCCTAGGAGTAAATCACCATAGAGGACTATGTTAGAAGGTGGACATGTCAATGAAAGCAATGCTCACCAATCCCCATGGATAAGTACCAAAACCTGAGATGAGGTGGAATGGGGCCGGTGAATAAGGTCTGCTCATGCAGTAAATCTATTTCAAGTATCCTTCAACAAAGATGCCCCAAATCGATGAGAATAGTGTCCCATCAAACAACCAATAGATGGCAGCAAAGATGCGTATGAGTGAATAATTGGTTTTTTTTTGGAACTAAAAAACAGCGGAGAACTAAAGTTTGACTAATTACTGTCTCTTCTAAACGTATACAAATTTGGAAAATTTAGAGGATATTATTTGTCAGAATTTTTCTCCAGCACCCAGTGGGCTGAAATGGAGTACAGATCATCATTACAGAAGGCCTATCCTAAAAGCCAGGGGTCTCCAAACATTTTAAGCAAAGGGCTAGTTTACTGTCCTTCAGGACTTAGGGGGGCCAGACTGTGACCATTGGGAGTTAAAAATGCCTCAAGCTTGGTGGACAGTGGGAGCAAAAAAATAAAAATAATTACACTGCATCCCTGTTAGAAGGAGGAGGAATAGTGTCCCATTATTGGTGCCAGTGGGAGGAATAGTGTCCCATCATTAGTGTCAGTGACAGGAATAGTGTCCCATCATTGGTATCAGTGGGAGGAATAGTGCCCCATCATTGGTGTCAGTGGGAGGAATAGTGCCCCATCATTGGTATCAGTGGGAGGAATAGTGTGCCATCATTGGTATCAGTGGGAGGAATAGTGCCCCATCATTGGTATCAGTGGGAGGTATAGTGCCCCATCATTGGTATCAGTGGGAGGAATAGTGCCCCATCATTGGTATCAGTGGGAGGAATATTGCCCCATCATAGGTATCAGTGGGAGGAATAGTGTCCCATCATTAGTGTCATCATAGTGCCCCATCATTGGTATTAGTGGGAGGAATAGTGCCCCATCATTGGTATCAGTGGGAGGAATAGTGCCCCATCATTGGTGTCAGTGGGAGGAATAGTGCCCCATCATTGGTATCAGTGGGAGGAATAGTGCCCCATCATTGGTATCAGTGGGAGGAATAGTGCCCCATCATTGGTATCAGTGTGAGGAATAGTGCCCCATCATTGGTATCAGTGGGAGGAATAGTGCCCCATCATTGGTGTCAGTGGGAGGAATAGTGCCCCATCATTGGTATCAGTGGGAGGAATAGTGCCCCATCATTGGTATCAGTGGGAGGAATAGTGCCCCATCATTGGTATCAGTGGGAGGAATAGTGCCCCATCATTGGTGTCAGTGGGAGGAATAGTGCCCCATCATTGGTGGTCAGTGGGAGGAATAGTGTGCCCCATCATTGGTATCAGTGGGAGGAATAGTGCCCCATCATTGGTATTAGTGGGAGGAATAGTGC